TCAAAGTTGAGCAAAAATTCTGGAATTTCTGCATGAACAGTACCCGCGAAGCAAAATTTTCAAATTTAATATTCTTGAATCTAAGGCCATCTAAGGTGGTCCTAATTGACAAGAAATGGACCTTGAGGATGGGAAATGATGAGATTTATGTTAGAAAAGCTAGAAAGAAGAACCTAAAAGCAAGAGAAAGGGTTGAGGTTCAAGAGAGCTAGTCTTGAATATTATGTAATCTAGTGGTCCTAATAGATTATATGATCATTGTGACTATGTTTAGGACCTTTGGAACATCCAAGAGGATTTTGGTAGTGTTAACCAAATACCCACATGGTTGGAAAGTCAAGGGAGTCGAAGGAAAAGTAAGAGGAAAGCTTGAGGTGCAAAGTAGTGAACTTACCTATTGTCATTGCTTGATGTTGTATGCTTGTGTGTTACTGTGTGCATGTTATCTGAATGTTATTGTGACATGTTTTAGCTACTGTAATTGCTATTCATGATGAGTAGATTATGTCTCCATGGCCATGCATCAAGAAGTTAGCTTTGAGCATGCTAAAATGTCACTAATTAACAAGAGAATAAACAAGTTGCGTATAGTGCATTAGCATCCATCTAGCATGATTAATATGGTATTGTTTGCTACTGAGATTCTCCTGAATCTCACCCCCTCCCTAACCAACCATTTTGGTCAATCATTAATGGGCAATAATGGCATGAGAAGCAAGGAGAAGAAAGTAGAGAATTGTTCATGTTAATAAATGATATTATTATTCAATGTGTAATTCTCCTATTATGTAATTTATGTTGTGGATGCCAATGATGCCATGTATTTAATTATAATGCTTATGGCATATATAGAATTGTATGAGCATGAACAGGAAAGAGTAAGCCCTTGTTATGTATACCAAAGAAATAAAAAGAATTAAAGTAAAGAGATGTTAAGGGATAAAACGAAGGTCCTAGAGCAATGAGTTTGTAGTTTAAGTTTGACCTATCAAACGAATGAGTTAAGTCATGAGATTTGGTAGACTTATAGTACACATCCCAAGATTTAAAATGAGAGGTAGATCACCTCAATTGAATGTATACACAAGGAGATACGAATTTCCAAAGTTGAGCCACAGAATCTGGAAGTTCCAGATTTTATGAAATGAACAGTAATATTTATTGATTAAACTATATGAATTAGGAAAGGATAAGTCCACTTGGATATTTTTCCTTAAAGAGCATCAAAATATCTTTTTGTAGAATTTTAGAACACCTCAATACGATTTTTATGAAATTAGTTATGAATTTTTGAAGTTGAACCTATAATCTGGAACTTAAACAGTAAATAGTAACCCGAGTAATTATGTTGAAATTTTAAATCCATGGGCTTGTGTCATGAACTACTTGAATCATAATGCTTATAAATGCGTGCTCTGAGGAGTTAAAGGCAGGACGTTTCATCAATCCCCCTATTCCTCTTGCTTTCTCTTTCTTAATTAACTAATTCCAAAAGAAATTAATTACCAAAAGTCAAAATCCTCTCCACTTGAGGTGTGACACTTGGCAATTTCAAATCCTCTTCATTAGGGGCTTGACACATGACAAAATGTGAGCCATTTAAAGTGCAAGACGCTAGTCTTCACTTTATCGGTACATTTTTACTCTGGGTTTAATCTCTTTTCTATAATTACAGTATTCTGGCCTTTGTAATTATTTTTTGTCAGATCCATAATCTATCCTCCTTATTTTTATCTTCCCAAATTTCTCTCTTTGTCTCAAAATCAATTTCCCAATAATTAAATAAAAAGGAAAACTAATTTCCTTCTCTTTAGTGATTTTTTTTCCAAGGAATTGGAAAAATTCTTAGATATTTGAGGGTCTCCTTTTAATTCCATAATCTCTTATAATTCCTTGGGGTATGATAGGAATTTTCTTGGAATTGTTCTTGCCTTAAATACATTTATTTGGAATTTTCCAAATAAAAGCTCTTAAATTAGCCTAAATTAACCTTAAATTCCTTTGTAATTTTTTGAAGGGTAATTTGGTCATAAAATCAATTATATAACCTCATATACTTCTCAAGGAATATTATCCTTAATTTTTCTTAATTTTTTGAGGCTTGAAAGTATTTTTCCACAATTATCTTTGACCAATTTTTCTTAATTAGTCAAACTTTCACATTAAGTTGAAAAATCATAATAATTATTTTCCATTAAAAATTCTTCTATTTCTCCTTATCCTTTTGGCCCATAAATATTTAGGAATATTCTTTATTCCTAATTGCCATATTACTGGATGTGACAATGTGAAGGAGGAATAATATTGTTAAAAATCAAAGAAAAAGAGAGGAATTTTGTAGGTTAAGGTTAAAGTGTTGTATTTGAGTTGTATAATTGTTAATGTAGGTTGCAATTATACTTGAATTGATAGGTTTTGTGAGAAGAATATAAGGGGAGACTAATTGTCCCAAGGAGACCAAAACCTATCAAGTGGGAAAGGTAGCATTGAATTGTAATTTGAATGTTTATCTTGCTTGTTTAGTGTGATTATGTTGATTGCTTTGATTGAGGAACTTGTGTTATGATAAAAATTGGGGGTTTTCATTAGAACTAGCAATTGAGATGAAATACAATGTAAATGTATTTTTGGATTTTTGAGGGATTAGGATGGAATGGATAGAAAAATTGTTAGTGGTAGTCTCACCCAAGAAGGGGGTGAATTGGGTGAGTTATAAAAATTTAAGCATAATAAAATAGTGAAATAAATAAAAACAGAGAGCTTTGAGTTAGAAGGATTTCACCACGGAGCAAGGACACTTGACCTACGTCCAATCCTTAGAGCACCTCTAAGATTTCCACTATAATCCCAAGATTAAACGAGCTCTTGGTGTCTTAGTACAGTAATTGATTTCCTCAATCACTGCCCCTTACTACCCATAAGGTTACAATCCCTCTAAGAGTCCACACTCTTGAGTTACTCTTAGAAGGTGAGTAAAGAAGGTGTATCATTCTGTCTCACAGAGTAAATAAATATGAAACACTGAAGTTCAATAAAAAAAGAAAAACAGAGTATTGAATGCAACAGTAAGTATTTCAGCAGAAGTAGCTCACGTATTCAATTACTCATTCAATGCTCTTTGCACCTTTTATAGTTGGAGAAGTTTAATTAATTGTTAGACTGAAGAGCTTCTAGCAGTTGGAAGTTCGGTTGCGTGTTTTCCCAATTGCAACAGTATTCACCATTAATGCTTCTAACACGGCAGGTTAAGGGCTACGAAATATCCGTTGAGTATCCATTGAGCTTTGTATTCTGTAACAATACTTGAAAATAATAAGTTTTTCCTTCAGAATGAAACTCATGATGATAACTAATCAAGTGATATTAAACATTTATGTGGCAGTTGGAAAGGGAATCAATTAATCACCAGATACTTTAAACATAAACTGAACATCCTTGATCGAAGTCATGATCGATAACTGGTTGATTGATTAAGTTATCGATTAATCAAAGTGAAAGAATTTGAAACAGATAACTATATTTATCGATTAAGTTATGGATTAACCATTGATCTATTAAGTGATCGATAAATGAAAAGAGTGACCTTTGAAAGATTAAGTAGGAAAAGGTCTAAGATCACTTATGGCTTTGACTCCCTTAAAATAGAGAATTATGATAAACATGAAGGCTGAGAAAAGCTTGAAGAGAACTATTCAGCAGATTTTGAAAGTCACTGTAACTTGTTGTTTTTAACTGAAATGAGTTAATGATCAATCAAGTGATTAAAAACTGTTTGATCGATCATGTTATCGATAAAGCTGAGTGAGATAAAAAGGTTTCCAAAGAACAATGATCGAGTACTTTATTGATAAATGAATGATAGAAAAACTTATTGATAAAAAGTCAAGAAAAGTATTTTAAGCTGAAAACAAAGATTGTATAATGTTCGAGTAGTTGATCGATTAAAGGTTGATCGATCAAGTTATCGATAAAACATTATTTGAAAAGCTTAGTTAAAAAACCAGGGATAAAGCTTAATCGATCATGTTATATGAAAACAAAATATTCAGAAACTTGGATGATGAATCATTTCATTAATAATCAAATGTTCGATTAGGTGATCGAAAACATAACTCAAAAAGTTAGGTGCAGTGAGATAGTGATGATCGATCATTTGATTAACAAATCACTGATCGATTAAGTGATCGATTAAAAAACCAAAAAACAACCTTGACCAGAAACATATCAATAATCCAGTGAGTTTTCAAGCATTGTTCAATCTGGTTATCGATAGATCTCTTATTGATAAAGTGATCGATAAATGATGAATGAAACAGAATATAACTTAAGTAGAAGGGCTTTACCATTCATCTATCTCCACATTGATAACTTATTTATCGATCATGTGATCGATAACTTCCTACCAGAATAATGTCCCTTTATCTATCAATTGTTTGATCATCAAATTATCGATCAAGTGATAGATAATTTTCTACAGACTTTTATACCAAACATTGTTAACAATGATCGATCAATTGATCGATCAACACATAAACCTTGAATTATCTATCAATTTATCGATCAAACTTAGTACCAACCTTCAATTACACAGAGACAATTTATCTGATACTTGATCGATTACTTTTTGATCGATCAGGTGATCGATCAACATATTAAACCAAAACATACTTGATTTGTTATCATCAAAACCTTAAATCTAAGAAAAACAAGTGTTGGAAATAGTTGATGAAACCTCTTGAAAATGGATCTTGGCAATCATAGTTCAAAATGATTTTGGGAGTATAAATCACTAAGTTTTCTAAACGAAAAACCTTAAAGAATCCTTTAAGTCTAGAGTCTTAATAAATGGACATCCAATCATAAAACCCTATAAAACTCACTTTATGTGTGTATTAGGATTAATTAATGCACTTGGTTCAATGTAAATTCAGATTAACTCATTATTAAACAATATCATGCAGAAAGAAGAGTATCAAAAGAATTGCATAGAAACATATATGTAATCACATATATAGAAGCCCACATTCAACATTAACTAATCCAATACATAACATAATCATCTAGAATTGATTACAATCATAACCAACATAGTTCAGTCACAATTTTACAAACCCTAGATCTAGGAATTCATAAACAAGCAACTAGACTATAGATAAAGCCAACTCCTCTTTGAAGCTCTTGGAACTCATGCCAATCAATCCATCTTCAAGAGAATAAATGTCTAGCCATGTAATGGAGTAGGAAGCACCACAATCAACAATGATTTCGAGCTACCCATAGTGGAAGATGCATAAGTGGAAGAAGATGAGAGTTTGATGAGGGAGAGTGAGAGAGGATGAATAGAGGAGGCTATAGATGAGTGAATGGAGTGTTAGGTCAAAAATAGGGTTTCTAAACATTTAAGGGGATGAAATGGGTAGGATTTAATGAGTGGGTAGCCTAATCTTGCTATTAGGATCCGAATCTGGGTTGCTAATATGAGGACTTCATTGCGGCTAAGGGAAATGTTTGCCGTAATGAAGCTTTCCTAAGAGGAGCTTCATCAAAATCGATGAGGTTGCCACAGTGAAGACAAAATATGGCCGCGGTGAAGACATCTTAAGACTATAGTGATGCTTATCTTCCAATTACACCGTGGCACATAATTTACTTAGCCATAGTGAACAGTTCTAGAATCAATACTTTGAGTCTTGTGTTGTGTAGTTCCTTAGTCTCCAATCATGGCTCTAATTCTTAAGTTTCCTGCAATAGAAAGCAACAATTTGAAGCATTAATTGTCCTAAAAAAGACAGTAACTCAAAGCAAGGAATCTTAATCTAAATTAAACACAATTATCACTAAAAGAGCTACTAACTATGATAAAAGCCCTGAAAATGATATGAAGAGACATAAAAGAATTGGGCTCAATCAGCATATCCATATAGCAACCAAATAAACAATGCAAGTTAAGATCAAAGTTGTAAGTTCTTGCTACCTCTTTCAAGCTTGACTCTTTCTTCCTTTCCTTTATCCTTGGAGCTTTTCTTGCCAATGGACAGTACCTATCAAATATACAACAGGGGCATTCTATGTTCAACTCAAGCAATATCAATGACTTGACTTGACATACACCATAAACCTTATCTTTGATTTTAGGGTTTTGTGTCATTTTTATGATTTTTCATGTAGAATCCATATTTGAACTTAGATTTATCCAAATCCAATTTCTTCCCTTAATTCTTCCTTTGGCTAAAGCATATGTATGTGTGTAACAAGTTGAAATTCTTTCATAAATAGAGTTAATTCCTAGGCCACCCTTTAATCATTCATGTTATGACTTATACCATTTTGGCCAAAAAAGTACCTTAGGGTTTTAGCTATTTTTTCCCATCAAAATTAAATCCAAATCAATCATTAATTAAGGCAATTAAACCCTTAAAAGAATCCTTAACTTACCTTGTGTATTGCCTTAAAATTGACTTGGTTTTCTTTTTCCTTGTTCTCTTCCTTTTCCCTTTGATTCAAGAGCAAAAACTTTCCTCTCTATGTCTTCTTATGTTGGCCAAAAATGAGGAACTTGGATAGGTATTTATAGACAAACTTTTAGCTTGGATTTTCTATTTGGGTCTTGGTGAAATGTTATAATTTCTTTGTACACTTGTCCCCTTTATCAAGCCATGTTTTACATGATCATACCGAGTGTCATAGGAGAATAAGATGACTAGCCATGTGTCCTCTTACATCATCTCCCTTACATCATCAAGCTCTTCCAAGTCAAGGTCGTCCTGTCTTCCAAATACTAATATCATGCCATTTGCCTTATGAGGTGTCTTCCTTTTAGAAAAACATGTGTTTAAAAATATATTATCTTATTACATAATTCATTCTTCCAGGCATGCCTTTCATAAATTTTAAAAATTCCAATCATATCGTCTCTTCATAAAATGGTGCCAAAATGGTAGAAAATTATGGAGAAAAATTACCTCACCAAGCTTTAGATCATTCTACTGAATAATTATACCAAATTGGTTAAATTTTTCTTAAATTCTGTCCAATCCAGTGGCTCTAAAAATTCATTTCTTTATGCCAATAACTTTCTTTTAATGAGAGGAAGTTCCCTATTTTTCTTAGATTAAAGTTCAACCTATAACTCCCTCTATTCAAATTTCTTCAAAATCGACCTCCTACCGATATGATTCGACATTAAATATTTTTAAAGTTAACCTTCTCACCTTCAAGGCTTAGAAATAATTTTACAATCTGTAATAAACTCTCAACTAATTTTTTTTTCATTTCTGTCTGAACAATTAAGACCTTTATACATTTAAAATAATTCACTTTGGCTAATTTTTTTTTCTTGTTTAGCCAAAAATACCTATAATTATAGAAAATTTTCTGATAAGTCTCATTCTATTTTCACTTTTTAGGCCTTAAATACTATTTTAGACACTCTACTTTTCATGAATTTTCAAGAATTTCAAGAATTTCAGGCATAATTTCCAATACTGTCCTTTCTTAACTGAAACTTTTCAAAATGACAGTTTGGTCCCTACCTAGGTTTCACTTTAAAAGTTGTTCCATCTTTATTCTACTATTCTATCTAGCCCACAGTTAGTTTCAAATCCTTCATCTCGTAAGTTAAAATTTACAAGATATGACACCAAGTGTGTTTATTAGGGGAGATGGTAGTTGGGGATTGGGTGATGATGAGAATGACAGTCGCAGTGAAGACCTGTGGGAGAAGGAGGGGATGAACGTGGTGGTGAGCTTCATGGGTTGTAGGCTTAGGGCTCTTTATGATGGCAATGGAGATGAGGAAGAAGCAGTGCCACGTTGGAGAAGGAGACAGTAAAGAAAAGAAGAACATCATAGCTCACAATCCACTTGGATCATTTTCATCTGATGTAGCACTAATAAGGATCGAGTCATAAACATAAACTACAAGGATTGAGTTGCAACAAGTTAAACTATAAGAACTCAGTTACAAACTCAATCAAATTTCAAGTATTAAATAATTAATTCTTTCCTAAAATCAAAATTAATTAGCTTACAAATTATATATCCACGGCGATGATTGTAAACATCATAAAGCTTATTTTTTTGTTTAAATAAAAATCTCCTTTTTATTTTGTATTATGTGAATATTTATGTTTCTTAATCATCAATCTAACATATTATGAACACATGGACTAATGACTATAACTTGAAAATCTAATATAAGGACTTGATTAAAAATCAAATAGAATTATAATGATTAACAAATTAATATTTTTAAAGATTTAATTATTTTTTAATTAAAAAAATCTAATTAACTTGACTATTATTGAATGGAATTAGAATAGTTTATGGATGATAAATAGATGATATATGGATCGCAATTGAAAAATAAATTAGATTTTCAGCAGCAAGTATCAGATTTTTAAATTAATAGTATCGCAATAAATGTGATATCAACAAATAATTAAATCTTGATTTAATTTATATTTTGATTACGAAAAGCCCAATTAAAATAATCAGGCCCATTAAAGGCAAACCCAAAGTTCAACGATTATCATTTAAACATATTTAAATTAAATTACGTATATCCAATATTTATACCGTTCATGTATTATATATAATATTTAATAGGAAAAATCTCTATTAAATACTCAAGACCATCAATAGTAGATCTGAAATCTAACGCAAACAAAACAAGCAATTACAAGCCATTATTCAAAAGCTCACTGTCTGACGATGCTTTTCTTATAAATACATCATTAACCTAAAAGGTTTGGTGTAATCACTCTTACTCACTGAAAAGCCAATGCATCTTCAAAAACCAATTACGAGTCCCCTAGTACTAGCACAGGTTGCATTGGTTTCTAGACAACCGAATGAAATACCAACAACCCTCTCCACACATGATGCATGATATGATGAATTACACACAGTATGGAGGATATATGCCTGGATTTTTAGCTCTTCTATATGTACAAGATATTGCTTCTAATTTTTGAGAGCATCCCCCTGGCATAACTGGACATTTCAATGTCGGTTTTATGGGCTATGTTCTTGTGTTTTGAAGAAAGAATGTTGACCAGTCCATTGCTTACCAGCTTTCTACGTACATCCTATAGGAAGTAAGTGAGTTGCTGTTTCTTCCTTGAACCTCCTTCTCCATATAGCTCATTCCACTGCTTCAGCTCAGCCATTATTGATCCTTCAGCAGCAAAACTTGCAGCAACCTGCATTAAAACAAACCATTAAGCTTTCATAATGAAATAGCCATATGTAGGGAAGAATACAAGATCTTGATTCGTCTGTATCACAATGATAAAGATCAAGTTTCACAAGTATAATCATGAGGGGTCACTAGGCAAGTTTATGATCTCCTTTAACAGTTGAGGTGTACTAGGCGTCTGATAAAGCTATGTGCTGAAATCAAGACTCGCAATGTAAGTCTTTTCAAGGAAAGACACAATAGAAAGGAAGCAAAAGAGTAGCGAAATCAGTGATGAATCAAGTACAGGTTAGTTGAGTCTTTGATTGCGATTATCTCATGCCTCATACTAATGAAATATTACCAACCTGATACTATTTACTCAGGTGTCATATATTAGTCAGTGAATTCCCTTGAACAACCAGAATACTGTAAATCCATTGTCCTTCATGTGAATTGAGAAGGGTTTTCAGTTAACCTTACCTGACTCTTAGCCTGTCTCATGTCTTCCATGTTTAAAGGCCTCAAGGCAATTACTTGCTCTTCTCCATCGTCCTGAGTATCAGAAGCATCCTCTGAGTTTTGTTTTTCTGCTGCCTTTTTGTTCTTTTCCTCGAACAAGATAAAATTGATACCAGTCATTTAACCGGTATTGATAAGGGCAAGGTTGGGGGCAATGTCACAAAATAACATTGTAAAGGTTGCTTAGTGATACTACTACCTTGTCTTTCAATCTCTCCTGCTTTATGAGCTCCCTAACAGGTCGATAAGCAGCAGTTGTGCAAAAATTCTGTTTATACAGAAATTCAGTGTCGAGATGATGCCAACACTTCAGAAGCAGTAAACTAGAATCATAAGCTGCAAAACAAACCTTAAGATCACTTCCACTGTATCCTTCTGTCATAACAGCAAGCTCTTTGAAGTCTAAATTTTCAGTCTTTTCCTTAGCTAGTAGAGTCTTCAAGATCATTTCCCTGTTCTCAGCTGATGGAAGGCCAACCATGATTCTGCTCAACATGAAAAGTTACAGAGGCATCAGTTGCAAATCTCAATAATAAGATGCGTTTGAAAATCAAATTATTCAATAGTATTGCTAAGAGATGCTTAAGAGAATCTTCAAAATAAATAGTAGTGCAAATTCAAACACTGATGTATTTTTCTGTCAGTAAACACAAATATCAGACAATTTATAAACTTGAAGACTTTGGTGATCACGAGTGTTGCATAGAGTTGGAAAAACAAAATGTAAAAGAACCATGTCATATGATGGAGCCACTTGCAATCTATGTGTAAAAGCTTTATAGTTTGATTTAGCCTTTTCTTTTCTTATGAGCACCTAACTGTTGATAAAGGTCATGTAGGCACTTTTTCTAAGAATGGCAATATTGAAATTAATCAGAAACAGACAACCTATGCATCTATAATGACTTGCCTTCGCTCAAACCGTCGTATGATTGCTTCATCAAGGTCAACTGGCCTGTTGGTTGCAGCAAGGACTAGAATTTGTTCCCCAGGTTTTGTCAATAGACCATCCCAGTGCGTCATGAATTCATTTTTAATCTTCCTCATAGCCTCATGTTCTCCAACTCTTGTTCGCTGCCCAAGCATGCTATCAACCTCATCAACAAATATAATAGTTGGGGCAACCTTTGCCGCCAATGTGAACAGAGCTCTAACATTTTTCTCATCTTCTCCAAACCATTTTGAAGTGATGGTAGACATTGAGACATTGATAAAGCTTACTCCAGCTTCATTTGCAATTGCCTTTGCAAGCATTGTTTTCCCAGTACCTGGAGGTCCAAAGAGCAATATGCCTCTGCAAGGCTTAAGAAGTCCACCTTTGAAGAGATCTGGCCTTCGAAGGGGAAGCATGACCAGCTCTTGGAGTGACTCTTTAATTTCATCTAATGCACCAATATCTGCAAATGTAACTCCAATCTCATTTGCAGGGATGACCTCTGGTCTAATTCGCTTCTCAAACTCATTGTCAGGAGGAACTTCCTGCAATCACAATAATAAACTTGTTGTAACACTAATAGTAATAAGAACAATAATAATATAAAATAACAGACGCAAGTAACCATGTAAAACAACAATTAATATTGAATAGTTTCAAACTCTAGGCCTTGGAGAAAAGTGAAGGCATGCCCCGGAACCATTCGTATCGGCTTAACTATCAAATCTCAAACACTCTTATGCTGTGATAGTGAAATTGACAAAAGTTTACGGAATAGTGCAATGTGAAAAAATGTGTAATATTTGATGATGATATTTGTTGTGAATATAGAAACTGATAGTAGTTGTCAGCCGCTCATATGCATAGAACGTTCTTGATAGAGTTTCCTTTCTCTTTCATTGTTTGAAAGAGGTTCAATATGTGTCTGAACAGTGGGTTCTAGAATGATAAGAAAGACTGCTTCGCCTTTCAAGATCCCTCCAATGCAAATCTTCTTGAAGTTGGCTACAGGGAAATCAATCTTACAGACGCTTTTGGAGCAGAATTCTCTCCATCACTCTTTGCTAGAGGAATGGATTTCCCTGTCTCACTTTTGTTTTCAGGTGCTTGAGCGTCAGACCGTACCTCATTTTTTGCACCATTCCCCTCTCCGCCAGCTGAGCCCTGCAATGTAAATTTAGAATCATGAGAACTCTTTCATCATCTTCATTGCCTTTTTCTTCCTTATTTATTTATTTATTTATTTGGAAGCAATTTTGCTGATCCATCTTACCCTTGGAAATGAGAATGGATGTAAGCATACCTTGTTTCCATTAGCTTCCAGCTTTAGGGTATCCTCAGCAGTTCTTTTGCCTTCTTGAAATAGATTCAAACCATGGGACAGACTGTTCATTACCAACATCAGTAACTAGAAAACATTTCGCTTAAATGAATACTTAGAAATCGATGGTC